TGTGGGTGGACCCTTGGCTGAGAATCTGCGTTTCCACCCCGAGAGACTGAGGTGCGATCTACATGCTAACAAGATACTCGTGAGCATCACCTGGGAAGCCGGGAATGCTCGTGTCCTTGGGCAGGTAGTGAGGGAAGGAGGAAGGTGGTGTCTGGGACGGTTCACCTGGTTGTCACGGGGATGGGGCTGCCGCTCGAGAGCGTAAGGAGTCTGGAAGGGCTCCAGAGACTCCTGGCTCACGCGGCGGGACAGCCTCCCTGCTGTTAGGACCCAGGGCCCAGCGCGCTCCGGGAGGAGGGTGTGTGACCTACTGGTCCACACCTTCGCTGTGGAGATGAGAAGGAAACATGAAGTGGTGAGAGGAGAGACGTCAGGAGTACCGGCTGCGGTCCTGTGACTAACTGTAGAAATGAGACTGTGGCTTCTGCCCGTAGTTTCCTCTTTGCTGTATTAGGGGTGTGTGTGTGTGTGTATTTTACTGTATTTTCGGTACAGGTTCACACAGCAGCTTAGGGCCCATTCCACAATTTCTCCACAAGTTGTGCAGTGGCACTGGTTCTGTTCTTCACAATGCAGGAACATTCTGATGAGCTCTGCTCTGGTGGTCCTGTTTCTGTTCATCTAGCTTCCCTGTCCCTCACGTTCTCATCTTCGTTTGAAAGTCATCGGTGACCGTTTGGTTCACAGAGGAGATGTTTTAAAGGAGCACAGTGCTCACGGGTGAGATTTCTTCTTTCTCGAACCAACCTGCTCCGTGGCTACAAGGGGCCCTCGGGGGCTTGCTCTAGTTGAAGCATCTTGGGGTGACATTCTCGGGGAACCCTCCAGTCTCGGCCGGTGCAGTGAGCCTGTCTCCATTATCGTGGTTAGGACTTTGAGGCTGTGGCCTGCATTTCTCGCCCACTCTCCCGGGGTCCATGTAGTGTGGCCCTGGTCGCGTGTCTTGTCCACCTGTACACTAGGAGTGTCTGGCTTTGTCCTTTGCCCCTGCCCTGCCCAGGGAAGCTGGCAGTGGCCACAGTGGCATTTGGCCCATGGATTTGAGACGTGGTAGACATTCCCTCTTCCCTGTAGGAAAGGGTGCAGCTGCGGTGGGTCAGGTGGGAGCTCCTGTGTCTGTGTTGGGGCTCTGAAACGCTAGTGGGGGCAGCTGCTGTCTTGGCTGAGGGGCTCTTGGCTGGAATGGACTGGAGGACAATCGGTTTTCACCCCCCCCCCCACACACACACACGGGGCTTATAGGGGCAACGTCCCAGAACCTGCCGCTCTTTCCACCGGGAACACGCACTCAGTTTTCCACTTGTCCTCTGCCACTCATCCTTCAGACCCTGGCTTGGGGGTCACTCGTTCGTGGAGACCCGACCTAAGGCAGGTCCGCCCTGCTCTTCACGGCCCACACCCCTTGCTTTTGGGTTCCCCGTTTGCCCCGTTACTCCAGCCACAGGTTTACTCGTGCACTGCTGCCTCCGCCGCTGGACCGTGCCCCCTCCAGGGCAGGGACAGTTCCCAGCGCTCTGACTGCCCCCAGAGCCCAGCACCCCAACCTCAGAACACAGGTCGGACTCAATGAGGCTCTCTGCGGGGACACGGTCAGAGAAGCACAGGCAACTTTAATGATCTGACAGGGGACGGCGGGGGCAACGGAGAGACCCGCGGGGGCCTGGAGAATGCACGAACTCCTCCTGGGCCTGGGGTCGGGGGGGGGGGGCGGTGTGTGCAGCGGAGAGCAGGGGCGTGCACAGCGCCCTCCGGCCGCTGGGGAGCGCTGTGCGAAACCTTCTGATGGTTTCTATGGGCCGGCAATCAGCGCAGGGGCGACGCCTGGCGGCCGCTTGTGCAACCGCCACAGGCAGGGAAGCCGCTCAGCTGGGCGTTTGGGGGACGCGCTTGGCCTTCCCCGGTGGGAGTGGCGATCTCTCGGTGGCATTGGCGATCTGGTGGACGCCCGAGGAGTTGGTCAGATAGAAGGGGCGGATGACGGCGTGGAAGCTGCTGAAGTAGCCCCGAGGGCAGGGGAAGACGGAAGCATCGCCGGGGCCGGGGGCGCGCCGGGCGCCAGGGATCGGAGCCTTCTGGCCTGTGAAGTCGGTGACGGCGCCCACTAAGCTGTTGCTGCAAAGCATCAGGGCTTTGTTCTCGTAGCCGACGGCCGGGTCGGAGCGGCCGGACCTGGTCAGGCCCAGGGCGGGGAGCTCGCCGGCGGAGCACGTGAGGCCGCGGCTCCGGCAGCTCTGGACGGTGGGGAGGTAGAAGAGCGACCAGGAGAGGCGCGTGGCCCGGAAGAGGAAGCTGGGGTGCTGCGGGGTGGTGAAGGCCCGCGAGGGGTAGTACCCTTGGTCGGCGGAGCCCAGGGGGTACGCTGCGCCGGCGCCGTAGCTGGAGGAGAGCGCGCCCCCCGCGGAGGGATCCGCCAGCCGCGAGTTCTGGGGCCCCGCGGGCATGGAGGCGCCCCAGGCGGGCGCCGTGTAGAGCCGCGGCCGGTAGGCGTCGCGGGCGAGGTTCGCGCCCTGCCGCGCCAGCTGCTGGCGGGGCGCCGTGTGGAACTGCAGGGCCTCCGATGTCTTCTTCTGCAGGAGCTCCCGGTGGGCGCCGAACTGCGACGCGTTGAGCTGCAGCCGGGAGAGGTCCGCGGGCAGGATCATGGGGAAGCGGACCTCCTCGAGCAGGCCGGCCATCAGGGCGCCGGCGCCGCGGTTGTCCGCGCCCCAGGCCTGCAGGGCCTGCAGCAGGGCCAGCTCGCTGGACACGGCCAGCTCGCTCCTGGCGAGCAGCGCGCGCAGCAGGGCGGGCTCCACGCTGGGCCAGGCCGCGGCGCGCGTCAGCGCCTCGAAGTTCCAGGCCAGGAAGCGCACGCAGAGCGCCTCCAGCGTGGGGTCGCGGGTGGCCAGGGCGTAGGCGTGGAGGTCCAGGGCCGTCCGGAAGGAGGCGTCCTGCGGGAGGACGACGGCGAAGAGGCGCGCGCAGTACTCCTGCAGCCGCTCGGCCCCGTGGGTGGAGGCGAGCTGGTGGAAGCACTTCACCGACGACAGGGGCACGTCCAGCCTGCGGGAGTACAAGTACCTGCGGGGCACGGGGGACGGGGGCAACGGATGACGCGGCGCAGCTTCTGGAGGCCGTCAGGGGCCTGGCTCCAGCGTGGTTTGTGGTCATTAGTTGCTGTGGCCAGACCCTTGCATGCCCTCCAGAGAGCCTCTGGGCTGTCTCTGTCTCTGTCTCAAGGGGGACCTTGTCCTCGGCTGCTGAAGCCGGTGTCTCGTGCAGCAACCCCCCCCCCAGTGTCTCACGTGCCTCATCTGAGAAGTAGAACCAGTGAGATCCGGGTGACCTCACTGATCCCAAGTGGAAACCAGGCCACACCTCGGGATGTTGCCTGGGAAAAGCCCCCGTCCCAGTCATGCTAGCAAGATCAGATGAGAAGAGGCAGCTGCCCTTGGCCGTGACTTTCAGGTACTTGGAGGATTCCTATGCTGTACCCTTACCGCATCTAAGAAATAGATCCTCCTGGGGTTTCTTTGCCTTGTTGTTGTTGGGTGCCGTGGAGTCGATGCTGACCCACAGCGCCCCTACAGGACAGAGTGGAACTGCCCACAGAGTCTCCAAGGCTGTCAGTCTTCATAGAAGCTGACCGCCAGGTCTCTCTCCCACAGAGCCACTTCTGGGTGGGCACCATGGCCGGCCCTGCTATCTGAGCTTCACTACACACCCTCCTTCCAGTCGCTGTTTTCACCAGGGCTAGGCTCATCCCTAACCTGCCAACTGCTCTCTGCCGAGCTGGCCTGGACATGCTGCTGTTGACGTTACGTTCATAATCCATGTGGGTCTTAACACTTCTTTTAATTCACAATATAGAGTTACCCAGGGAGAGCCGCATATTGGGTTTTGTGAGAATTAGTATACTTACATGTGTGGATGTACATGTGTGTGGATGTGTACGTGGGTGTATGCATGATATGTGTGTGTGATGTGTGTGGTATATGTGTGCATGTGTGATGTATGTACATGGTGTGGTGTGTGATGTATGGGTGTACATGGTGTGAAGAGTGTGGTGTGTGTGTGTGGTGTATGTGTCTACATGGTGTGATGTGTGTACGTGGTGTGATGTGTGTACATGGTGTGATGTGTGTATATGGTGTAGTGAGTGTATATGGTGTAGTGTGTGTGGTGTGTGTATGTGGTGTGATGTGTGTGTGTGATATGTGTATGTGGTGTGATGTGTGTATGTGGTGTGATATGTGTGGTGTGTGTGTGTGGTGTATGTGTATACATGGTGTGTGTGTATGTGGTGTGATGTATGTGGTGTAGTGTGTGCTGTGTGTATATGGTGTGGTGTGTGTGTGATACGTGTATGTGGTGTGACATGATGTGTGGTGTGCATGTGACTATGATGTGTGCATGTGGTTGATGTCTGTACATGGTATTGTGTGTGGTGTGGTGTATGTGTGCGTGATGTGTGTGGTGTGTATGTGACTATAATGTGTGTGTATGTGGTGTTCATGTACATGGGGTATGTGTGTGTGTGATACGTGTACGTGGTGTGACGTGTGTGGTGTGTATGTGACTGTGATGTGTGTGTACATGGTGTTCGTGTACACCGTGTGGTGTGTGTGCGTGTGTCATATACACACAAGCATCGTTGTGACGGGTGTCCCTCCCTATGGCCGTGCTTCTGAAGGGGAGGAATGTGGGGCCTCAGCTCCCGAGGACGGCTCACCTGATGAAGTCCATGACGACAGGGACGCACTCAGCGTCCACCTCCATGGTGATGCTGTGGCCCGGCTCCCTCAGCAGGGCCTGGGCCTCAGGGTTGGTGGAGAGGATCATCCTGTGGACGCAAACGGTCAGGGCCTCCTCGTCCCCGGCCTGCACCTGGACAGACAGGTCGCAGCCCACCTGGTTGGTGAAGAGCGCAGCCAGGGCCTGGGGGAGCTCACTGGAGAGGTCCAGGGTGTGGGCAACCGGGTCGTCTCTGGTCTCTGCGAGGGGGGGAGAGGGACGCGCTGGGTCCGCGTCCTGGTTCTGTAGGACGTTCTCGCCGAGCCCTGAAAACACCCTCCCGTCTCCAGGAGTCAGACCCAAACTGCAGTGACAACCCAGCACCGACCCAGCCGCCGGGGAGCGACCCCTGGCACCGCCCCGCGTGTGTCAGAGCACAATGGGCTTCTTGGGAAGCAGTCGCCAGGCGGATCTTCCACGGTGCCTCCGGGTGGACTCCGGGTGAGCATTTGTACACCCAGGGACCTTAACTGTGCTGACAGGCCCTGCCTTGTCTGCCTAGAAGGGCTCTAGGAAATGAGGGTATAACTGGTCTGATCTGGAAGTCAAGTCCCCTCTGGAAGACTGGGTGTCGCTGCTGTTGGTGACCCCAAGTTCTCCCCACTAACAAGCAGTGAGGCCGGACCGGGCCAGTCTCTGCTTCCCATTGATGCCCACTCCCCTTCTCTGCCCCCTCAGCTCATCTCCTGCTTAAATCCAGGCCACACATCCAGGCGGGGGCTCAGTGGCCCTGACCTTGGAGCTCTGGACACCTTTCTATTTTTTAAAATTATGGTACAAATGTATGTACCATGAAATCTTCCATTGTAACCATTTTTTACAAGTCAGTGGCGTTTAGTGCACTCCCAACGTGCAAACACGCCTACCGCCTATGTCCCAACCTTTCCCAGGTGGAAACCGCACCCACTGAGCCCCTCCCTCAGGAGCCTTGGATGCGCCTCTGTCTCTAGGAAGTCGCCTGTTCTAGATCTTTCCCGAGGATCTCAGGGCTGGGTAGGGCCAGCGGGGAGCTCTGCTCAGTGGGTGCGGTTCCCGCTTGGGCTGGTGAAAGCTGGAGCTGGACGGTGTGGGTTGTAGCACAGTGTCCCAAGTACACTCAGAGGCTGGTGGTGCGGTGCTTGAAGCATGCGGCTGCTAACCAAAGGTCAGTGGTTCAAACCCACCGGCTGCTCCACGGGAGAAAGATGAGGCAGTCTGCTTCTGTAAAAACGACAGCCTTGGAGGCCCTGTGGGCAGTTCTACTATCCTATAGGGTTGCTGGGAGTCATCGATGGGATGACTGACAATGGGCTCCCTGAAAGTGGGAGCCAACTCTGGGGGTCCGTCTGGACCTGCCAAAGGCGTCTGCCCTGCCCTCCGGGGTCGCTGGGAGTTGCATTCCCTTGACGGGAATGGGTTGGGTTCTTTGGCTTATGGCACCCAGCGTGGTGTGTTGAGGCTCACCCTGCTGTGAAATGGATCAGAACGCTTTCCTCTTTGTGTACCTGCATGTACTCACTGTGCACAGTGTTCCTCTGTCCACCCCAAGACCCAGTGATGGGGTCAGTCGGCCCGGATGCTGCCCTTCTAAACCAAAACCACCTCCGTGGCCCGACGGCCTCGGAAGGTGGGGTCCTCTGGCAGCCCGAGATAGAAGCTGACTGTGGCCGCCGCCTCGGGAAACAGGCCCACACGTCACTGGGGCCCCGGGGCAGGACGGTGCTGTGACGGACCACCGCCACATGCTTCTCCTCAGAGCCTGACTGGAGCCAAGTCCCACCCAGGTCTGAATCCATCCCCACATTTCAGCCACCACTAGGGGAGCCAGCCCCGCCTGCCTCGACCCGGAAGCTCTCAGCTTCTGGTCTCCAGCCCGTTCCCCTCACTGCTGGCACTCTCACCGCCTGACCCCTGCATCCCCAGCCCTGCCATCTAGCGTGACCCCTCACTGCACCTGCGTGCCGACGCACCAGTCCCGGCAGGTCAGGAGCAGCCTGTGAGGGTGGGCAGGCAGCAGTGAGCCAGGAAGGAGGGACTCCAACATGCTCCCTGGCATGGGAGGAGTGAGGAGGGGCCTCCCAGGGGTCAGAGCCTCCCGGCCACCGCCACGAGAGATGCCCAAAGCAGCTCCTGGGCCCCGTGCGACACGTGCTGCCGGGCAGACATCCAGAATGGAGCTTCTGCACCGAGCGAACCACCTCAGACTCACAGGCCCTGCTTTGGGAGCAGCGCACGGCCTGACTGTCGGGAGGAGCCGCTCCTGAGGCAGCCACCGTGCAGGGCGGGCGGGGGCGGGGGGGGGGCGGCCAGGACGCTGGGCTTCCTGCTGCAGAGAGAGCAGCTTCCCCGTCCTGTGGGGCCTCACCTGTGAACCTGTGCTACGCAGGCGTGGGGTGTGCAGGGCGGCAGGTGCGCTGGGCTTGCCAGGACCCCGTCGGGGCACCCAGGCCCCTGGGCGGTCTGAGCCACCCTGGGGGAGGCCCCACTCACCGTTGGAGCAGACCACGCTGGCGTCCTCTTTATGCAGACAGTTACTCAGCAGCCAGCCGAGGGACTGGCACTGGGCCAGCGACTGCTCAGCCCCGGTGCACTCCACGTCGTCCAGCATGATGGGACCCACTCCTGTGGGCACAGGGAGGACAGAGTGGTCTTCAGGGGCCAGGGGCGGGCAGCCCTTGTAGGCTGCAGAAGGGTCCTGTTTATTGCATAGAGTGGGAGTCCCTCCCTCGGTCCATTAAAATAGCTCTTCATTGTTTCATGTGTCCTCCACTGTGCGCATGTTTATGGTGTGTTTGTTTGTTTGTTTAAGGCGCTATGGTGGTGTAGTGGTGTAGTGCCTAAGGCATTTGACTGCTAAGCAGAAGGCTGGCGGTTCAAACCCACCAGCCACTCCTTGGAAGGAAGATTGGGCATCTACTCCGTAAAGATTTACTGCCTCAGAAACCCATTGGGGTTTGCTATGAGTTGGACTCGACTTGATGGCATTGGGTTTGTTTTTTAAACAAACTTCATTGGTAAAATGTCTGTAACATAGAAGTGGCCACTTTAACCCACTGAGTGTACAAACTCAGGCGTTAATGACATTCACCAGCTCGTGCAACCATTACCAACTATTTCAAAAACCATTCCCTGCCCCAAACAGAAACTCTGCACCCCTTCAGCAAGAACGCCACCCCTGCCTCCAGCTCCTGGTGACGTCATGCTTGGCTTAGCATGCTCTTAAAGTTCATCCATATCACAGCACGTGTCAGAATGTCATTCTTTTTCACAGCTGGGTAAAATGACATTGGATGGGTGTACAGTGGCAGCTTGTGTTTCTCTGTTCATTGGGCGATAGGTTTGTGTTCTTTGTACCTTTTAGTGACGGTGAATAACCCACTGTGAATATCTGTGTACTAGTATACAGGCCTCTACCAGTTTTAATCACAGTAAATATTCCACTTTGTGTTCTAATTGTCACATTAGACCATAAACTTGGCCTTCATCCTTATAAAGTGTAATGGCTGCTTGGTAGACATTAAATTGTTGTTGGGTGCCATTGTGTTGTTTTAAACTCACAGAGACCCCATGTGACCGAGTGGAACTGTCCCACAGGGTTACCAAGACTGCCAAGCCCAAACCACACCCACTGCCGTGGAGTGGACTCTGACCCACAGCGCCCCTAGAGGACAGAGTGGAACTGCCCACAGGTCTCCAAGGCTGTCAGTCTTTAGGGAAGCCCACTGTCTTTCCCCCTCATAGGGCTGGGTAGGTTTAAATGGCCAACATTTTTATTAGCAGCTGAGTGTTTACCATTTGCACCACCAGGGCTCCTTCAGACAACAAATCAGCCAAAAGTGGTGCCACAACCCTGTGGCTGAATATTTAGATCATTTCCAAGTTTTCAGAATCGCAAGCACGCAGCAGTGAGCCCGCAGCTGCTTCCCGGGGGCACTGTCTCGCAACGAGTTCCCAGGCGGGGGCTCTCTGGCTGCAGCGAAGGACTGGAGCCTTCGCGAGGTCCTGGCACCCAAGCCCCTTCCCAGGCTTCCACCGCCCTGAACTCGTTTCTGACGTCAGGTTCGTAGGAGGAACTTGTGCACGTCTTTGATGCCTGCCTGTGCCCTTTTAGGGAACCTGTGGGTCCCCGGAACCGGCTGCGGTCTCGACTCCGCAGGAGCGGAAGCAGAGCCCCTACCTGGCCCGAAGGCGGCACCGCCCAGAGCCTGGACGGCTTTCTTGAAGCCCAGGGCGCGGCAGACCACGTCGGCATCCGTCAGATCCCATTTGTCGTGACACACGGTCCCCCACCGGCCTCCGTAGAAGATCTCCACACGGCCCCTGTTGGCTGCACCCCCGTCCGCCAGCCTCATGTCGCCGTCCTCCAGGCCTGCAGCTCGCAGGGCAGAGGGGAGCCAAGGTCAGTCGGATGATGGGGGCGGGGAGGAGCAGCCCCGTCCCGGGCCCACCTGCTGCTGCCATGTCCGTTTGCGGGGGCAGGTTTTCACCCCTTTGAAGGCTGTGCCTGTCCTGGCGGAGGTCATGCAGCGGGGGGAGTGGGAGATAGACACCCCCCAACACTGAAGTAAGCTAGCCTGGGGTCGACCCCTTTGCCCCTAGACAGGGGGCAGGGGCCTTCTGTGCCCCACCACCGGGAGTGGCGGGCTGGGCTGTAGGAAGAGGAGCAGGAAAGACGTGACCCCACCCTTGTGTCTGCGGCTTGGGCTGCCGGGCCTGGGACAGACGCGTGGGGAGCTGGGGGGCCCTTCCTCTTTCTGATGGCTTCCTGAGGGCCTGGGGGAGGAAGCTGTGCGGGTGCTGGGAGGTTGCAGGAACCCACAAGCCCCCCTCACTGGGGACAACCTGCGCTTTGAGTGGGCGGGGACCCCCAGGCTGCTGGCAGCACATTTGTTGGCGTTTTCTGGGGGCAGGAGCCTAACTTCACCCACATTTGCCCCCACTGTCCAGGGCGTCAGCTTACCATGTGCCCCCGCCAGCAGCAGCCATGTGCAGAGGAGCTGTGGAAGGACCATGGCGGTGCCTGGAGCCTCGATCCTGTGGCAGAGGAGACGCCAGGGCTGGACGTGGGTGTAGGGGCATCCTCAGACCCGGGCGTGCCCTGCAGGCCCCCGCTGCTGGGGCCCCTGGGAAGGCCGGGACGGAGGCAGCAGGCTGCCTGGCAGTGAGTGGGCCGGACCCAGGGGAGGTAGGGCCTGGGATGCGACAGGCACCCTGGCAGGGCCCTCACACCATCTAGTCCTCAGACCGAGTGAGACCTGGCCAGGGGGCGGTGGACTGGGGGTTCCAGGGAGGGAGGGTCCCTCAACACCGGGCCTGCACGTGGCTCCCATGTGGTGCTGGGTGAGGATGGTGGAGGAGGGGGGAGGGGTCTGCAGGGGCCAGATGAGGAGGGGCCCAGTGAGCCTCCCTGGGGTCAGGGCTTTGTCTTCAGATGACTGGTCCCTGTGGGGCTGGATAGGACATTGTCCCTCTGGCCTAGTAAGAATCACGGGTGGCCCCTAGCACTGCTCCCTGCGGTCCAACAAGGCCAGGGCCAGGCCACCAGGGGTGCTGCTGAGTGCAGGACTAGGCCAAGGCCTAGTGACCTCGGGGCAGCGTGTGACCACACCCAGACCTGTGGCATTGAGACTTAACACGTACAAGACCCCCGGCAGGTGTGGGAAGCTTTGAGGGATGCTCGGGGCCAGCCCTGCTCAACATAAGCTCACAGAAGCCTGGCAGGGACCGAGACCCACCCCGCCCACCGCCAACAAGTGAGGCCAGGCAGCTGAAGCGCACGCACGGGGGCCACTGGGGACTGCAGCCCTCTCTCCACCGCATTTGTCTCAGAAGACAGCTGAGAGGCCAGGGAGAGGACCTGGGCAGAACGGACTCCAGGTGCCGTGACCGGCCTGCCCGCCTGTGCGCGGTGCTCTGAGGAGCCCAGTCTGTGCGCCCAGGCCACCTGACGCCCACTGTGTGGAGAGAAGGGCACCCACCTGTGAGAGGCAGCGGCCTTCGAACCGGTTCATCCTCCTGCTGGATTCTGCATTTCCACCTTATCAGACAGTCTTACCTGGAGCTCTGGTGGTGCAGTGCCTAAGGCATGTGACTGCTAAGCAGAAGGCTAGCGGTTCAAACCCACCAGCTGCTCCACGGAAGGAAGGTTGGGCATCTACTTCTGTAAAGATTTACCACCTCGGACACCCAGTGGGGGTTGCTATGAGTCGGAATGGACTGGACGGCAGTGGGTCTGGGTTTGGTTTTGTTGGAGACAGCCGTATAGTTCTCCTGGTGATTCTCATGTACCATAAAGGTAGTAGATCCTGACTGATATCAGGGGTGGAAAGCAAGTTCTCAGCATGGGGTCAAACTGGAGTGAATGGTGCGTGCGACGTCCTGGAGAGATGGGTGCTTACCTGTGTAGGTGACCCTCGGGGCTGCCTGGAGCCTCCTGCTTCCAGCCCCAGGAGTCTGCTGCGGGCCGTCCTCTGCCCGGAAACCCCCCGGCGTGGCGCTTGGTCAGGCTGTCTGGGAGAGGCTTCAGGAAGCTGAGTCCAGTTCAGCTGCTAGGAACCGCATGACCTGTGCTTCTCGGGGATTGGCTGCAAACAGCAGCTGGGTCTCTTCCTCCTCTGGGCTGAGTGTGGGCGCTGGGAGTGGCAGTGGCCCAAGGCCGTGGTCTGGCCGACTGGGGCTTCAGCTGGTTAGTTCCGGTCCGACCCCAGCTGAGCATTTGCGTTCCCACCCCAGCTGGACTGAAGGAACCTGCCTTTCCTCAGGATGTCCCGGTGACCGTGCTGGTGATGAGTGCTGAGAACCGTGGCTTTGTGGTTCTCAGCATCCCAGCCAGCAGCCTGAGCCCGGCCTGGGAACTCAGTTGCAAATGCAGATCTCAGCAGGAGTTCCAACCGGATCAGGGTTGGAAGCCCTGGGCTGCAGCATTGTGCACGGCCATAGCCAGACGGTGGCAACCACTTTGGAACTTAGACCCTGATCTGACCTTCTAAAATGGGTCAAAGAGCGAAGTGCTGGTGGAGGGGAGTAGCGGGCAGCAGGGGAAGCAGCGAAGGCCGACGCTCTGGGGCCAGACAGAGCCGGGTCTGCGCCAGCATTCCTGGCACGGCACGTTGGGAAGGGAGGACACTGTCGGTGGTGACCACACACTCCTGAGGCCACCTGCTCCACCCTCTCGACGTGCAGGGCCAGGCAGAGCAGCCCATGCCCCACTGAGCCTGTGTGGTGGCCTCCCCCTTTTAGAGGTGGCACGGAGCTCTCACAGGCGCCAGTGAGCTGGTGCCAAGAGCGGGACTCACTGTGGCATTGACCTAGGGTATACGCTCGACCTCAGAGGCCTCTCTGGCCACACACAAGCAAGCTGTTCTCTTAACATCCGGCCGCAGTGAGCAGCTGGCAGGACCCCTTCTGTGGGCGTTTATCCATGTGCCCCCGTATCCACCCCCTCTCCCCTAGCAAAAAGATGGTACCTTGAACTTCCCTGGGAGTCCCTGGGTGGTGGAGACGGCGGCTGACTTGCCATCGAGGCAACAAGGACAGAGTGGAAGCCTCACAGGGTTTCCAAGGCTATCGGTCTTCGCGGAAGCAGACTGCCACAGCTCCTTCCCACAGAGCAGCATGGTGGGGTCAAACTGCTGACCTTGGGGTGCAGCTGAGTCTTCACCACTGGGCCCACAGGGTCCTGCTGTCCCGATCCTGCAGCTTTACGTGAAGGTTTGACGTTATTGTCTAAGTCTTCAACTTCGCTTTTCTTTTTCAAAACCGAGTCTTCTGGCCACGCACACGGCCTGTCATTCTACTCGTGGCCTCGTCTGCTCTCCCACGCGTGCTGCTGTCTCAGCACACAGCTCTCGCACGCGTGAACATGGCACACCACTCCTGGCTTCCGCGCCGTCTTCGCTCTGGCGTGTGCTGTCATTTCGGCACACAGGTCTCACACGCATGATGACGTCACTGCCTTTTCACGCGTGAACATGGCATACCACTCCTGGCTTCTGCACCGTCTTCGATCTGGCGTGTGCTGTCGTTTCAGCACGCAGATATCACACGCAAGAAGATGACATCACTGCCTTTTCACGCGTGAAGATGGCATAGCACTCGGCCTTTTGCGTCATCTTCAATCTGTCGTGTGCTGTCGTTTCGGCACATAGATCTCACACGCATGAAGATGACATCACTGCCTTTTCACGTGTGAAGATGGCATACCACTCGGCCTTTTGCGTCGTCTTCAATCTGTCATGTGCTGTCGTTTCAGCACGTAGATCTCACACGTGTTCTGTTAGATCTGTACCTGGGTACGTCAGGTTTTTGTGAAATTACTGAAAACGGCACCTTTTCTGATTTTGATCTCTACTTGCTCGGCTGCAGCTGTATAGAAACAAATCCGTTTTGTATGCGGACCACGGTGGAAAACAGTGTGATGATTTCTTAAAAAGCTGGAATTCGTAATACCATTGGACCCAGCCACTCCGTGACTAGGTATGTGTCCTGAAGAAGTGAGAGCCAGGACAAGAACAGATATATGCACACCCATGTTCATCGCAGCACAATTCACAATAGCAAAAAGATGGAAACAGTCTAAGTGCCAATCAGCAGAAGAATGGAAAACCAAACTATGGTACATGCACACAATGGAATACTGTGCAATCCTAAAGAATAACGTAGAATCTGCAAAACACCGCATAACATGGATGGACTTGGGGACATTATGCTGAGTGAAGTAAGTCAATCACAGAAGGACAAATATTGTATTAGTCCGTTATTGTAAAAGTCAAGGAAAGGTTTATGTATGGAAGGAAATTTTCTTTGTTGGTTACCAGGGGTGGGAGGGGAAGGGAGGGAATCCTGTTAGATAGAGACAAGTATTGATTTGGGTGAAGGGAAGGGCAATGTACCAAATGTGAGTGATCAATGCAGTGCACTGAGGAAGAGGAAGACACAGAGAAGTGCACGGGAGGTACAGACAACACAGATGAACACACAGCACTGCGTGGTCAGTGAAGGCAAACATGGGTGTATGGGTGGAGAGATGGGTGGACAGGCTGAACTATTACATATGTCTATGCAGGGGGGAGTGTGCCGAAGACCATGCATAGGGTTGGCAGACAATGTTTCTACAAGTGTATTTGTATGATCTGTAAGAATTCCCAGGTGTATAGTAGAGCTGACAAGGGATAAGTTTGTAGTCACTTCTTGGCCACAGCCAGCTACCCAGAGGGAGCAAGTAGTTGGACCTGTGGGCTCGGGACCATAGTCTCAGGGGGCATCAAGCTCAATTGGCATAACGTACCACACAAAACATTGTTCCACATCCTACTTTGGCGAGTAGTGACTGGGATCTTAAAAGCTTGCAAGCAGCCATCTAGATGCAATGATGGGTCTCTCCTCATCCAGAGCAAAGAAGAATGATGAAAACCAAAGATTCATGGAAACAGTCTCGTGACCGGTACACCATGCAATCCACAGCCTATACGACTATGAGACCAGAACTAGATGGTGCCCAGCTACCACTGTCAACCACTTGGAGGGGGATCTATGTAAGAGATCCTAGATAGAGAGGGAGAAAAAAGTAGAACAAAACTCAAAATCATTTAGTAAAAAAAAGGGGGACCAGGTTTGCTGGTCTGAGAGAGTCTGATGAAACCACTGAGACTATAGCCCCTAGCTGCCCTTCAGGTCTGGAATGGAACCCACACCTGTGGTTTCCAGCCAAATAAAAGACAGGCATATGAGTTGAACATTTACCTGGGGTAGATACACTCCCTGGAGAGAACAATCATGGGAGAAAGAAGGGCTGCTTATGCACAGGGAGACAGCTCAGGGGGCAGGAATGCAAGGAGGGATGGACACAGGGAAGAGGGAACTATCAGGAGGAAGTGGGAGGGGAGCTATTGCATTGTGGGAGGTTGTAGTCAATGTCATGAGACAAAGTGTATGTGAGCTGTTGCATGGAAAGTGAATTTGCTCTGTAAACTTTCACCCAAATCACAATGAAAAACACCAAAAAGTCCATTTTGTCCGTGGCCTCCACAGGTTGCTCACGGGCTGGTTTTGGGAGTTGACGTCAGGCCTCTCTTCCTGGCGCATCACAGTCTGGAAACTTCACTGAAACCCGTCCACCCTCCTAGCACCATGACAGCCTCCCTGACAGACGAGTGGGGCTGAGCGTGGGGTACACTGGCGGGGAATCGAACCTGGGGACCCCCTCATGTTTGTTTTTTAGGTGTCGTCCAGTTGGTCCCAGTCAACGGCAACCCTGTGCACAACAGAACGCAGCAGTGCCCGGGCCTCGCTGTCCTCACGGTCGTTGTGTTGGAGCCCCTTGCTGCGGCTGCCGCCAGCCCCCACTGCAGGTCGTCCCTTTCATGGGCCTGATGTCCTGCGGGGACTCCTCCTGAGAACACGTCCAAAGCACGTGTGATGAGTGCTTGCCGTCCTCACTTCTAGGGTGTGTCTGGCTGTCCGTCCAGGACACGTGTTCATTCTTCTGGCAGCCCGTGGCGTGTTTGATACTCTTCATCAACACCCTAATTCAGAGGACCAGTTAGTTCTTCAGTCTTCCACCCCTGAACTGCCCCTGCCTCGAGCATAATCTAAGGAGGCTCTGTGAAGGGACTGTGTACGGAGGTGTGAGTGGGGTAGTGTGGCACCCATCCTGGTTCAGAAGGGACAAGGGGACAGAGCAGTTAGGGCCCCGACAGAGAGGGTGGGGCAGAGGAGCTGCCCTGAGAGCCATGATGGGGCCCTGCAGGGAGGAATCGGGGATGCCAGTGTCACCCCCTCCCAGCCACCGGCTCGGACTCCCCGTGCTCAATCCCGGAGAGGCTCCCTTGGGTCAGCCTCCAGGGACACAGGGCAGGGTGGGGAAGGGAGGGACGGGTCTGGGCTTTAGGCCACCCCCTGGGGTTTCGCCTCCCCCTCCGAAGGCACCTTCTCCATCTCCAGCGTGGGCCTCTTTCTTCAGGCCCTGCTTCCTGGTGGTCCTGAGGCCTCTGCGTTAGGACTTGCTACTCTGCGTCTCTTGGGAGTGATCTCGCCCATTCCTGAGGATTCAGGCTTACTCCCCGAGGCCCAGAGTAGTCAGACTGCCTGCCTGAGCTCGGCCTGACTGACAGCTGCTTCTGGAAATCTCTTCTGGGTGAACAGCAGCAGAGTGGGTGATGGAGGGTTACCCATCAGGTCACTGCCTTAGCCTTTCGTGTGTCAATCCATCTGATGTTCATGACAGCCCCGTGAAGCAGTTCTGTTCCAGATGAGGCCAAGAAACAGAGAGGGCAGGCAAATGCTCAGAGGCTGCACAGCCAGGAAGGGGCAGAGCCAGGCTGGAGCTCAGCAGTGGCCCCCAGAACCTACAATCTTAACTGCTATGCTGTTTATTTGGGGCATCTTGGACAGACCCCAGGGGCAAGAAGGAGCCAGACTGGGCTACAGCACCCTAGGGAGACAGGCTCCCCTGAGCCCTGGTCCAGGTGCCCGGCCCAGCTCTCCCACAGCACATGACCTCCTGCACCAGCAAGTCCGTCACGTGCTATTTGCCTGGGCTCCCAGTGCACCCTCCATGACTGTGGGGTGTACGAGCCACATCCCTGTCACCAACCCACAGGATGGCGCCCTTCACAAACACACAGACCAGGGGACAGGAGAGTTCACAGTCTCTTCTGACACTTTATTCATAAAACAAATGGGTCCAGTAGGCAAGGGGCACAGTCAGGATGCTTCCAGTAGTGAGTACGAGGAAGGGAAGAGAAACCGGCTTGGGAGCACTGACGTGACCTCAGTGAAGTACTGACCACAGGGCGTGAGGCACTGCTTCCCGACTCCTGGGGACAGCGGGGCTCAGATACCGGCATCAACGCTGTAGGATCATCTCAGCCCCCAAGTGCCCCACGCCCCCCGAGCTTCCGAGCTCCACCTCTCTCTAGTTTTCAACGCCACAGCCCTACCATCTCCCACATCTACCCAGGAGCTGGCTGGAGCCCGGCGACGTGCAGTCAGAGAAGCTGGGCTTGTGGGGTGACGCCCGGTGTGAGTGAGCTGACGAGGCAGCACGCCTGGCGGTTCCCCGTGTTCTGCCCCGTGAGGGAACAGACGACCAGCGTGAGGAAGGAGGGTCCTCACTAGGTGCCCCCCAAGAGGCCACATGGAAGTTCCCAAGCAGCAGAGTTGGCATGGGGGCGGCCCTGGAACCGGCAGAGCCCAGGACAAGGTCCTCCGCCCGCCCAGCCATGTTCCCAGGAGGGGTCACCCAGGATGAGGTAGCTTCTTCAGGGAGGAGCACTGTGGACTGACAGAAGTGCCTCCTCATCTTTGGTTGTGACTACCCCTGCCCCAAGCCCTCCCTGCCTCTACCCTGGAGGGTTAGGAGACCAATGAGAACAGGGCCAGTCACAGTGGGGAACACTGACAGCAGGGACCAGACATGATGAGGACCGACCATGGGGGCCACTGACAAGCCCCCAGGCGTGTGCAGCTTCCCTGGGGAGGGGCTGCAGGGTGCCCGCTGCACACGGACAAGGCCCAGGCCGGGGCCTCACAGCAGCCCCAGGACCAGAGTCCAGGAGAGCACTCAGAAGCTGGGGCCCCTTGTTCTTCAGGAAACAGATGTTCAAGTTCCTCACAGGAGCCTTTAAAGGCATGACAACCACTGAGAGTCGCTGGAAAAAGGCAAGCTTCCTTATCTTTCTCTGCTGGCTGAGGACTTAGACCCGTTTGAACGTCCCATGCCGGGAACACACGTGGTCACGATGGGACTTTGCTCTGTGTGGTAAGATGACCGGGACTTCAACTAAAATAAGTCCATAATGAAACGTCAAAGGGCTACTCTGCCACAGAAGTTTCTGGAAGGGAGGAAATGGAGTGGCTGGGCCATGAAAGGCCGTGCTGCATGGAGGCCGGGCCTGTCCGGCAGCAGCTTCAGGCTCCGTGTCCCAGAGCCCGCCTCTCCCCTCCAGCCCTGACATTCTGGTCCCCGAGGACTGGGGGTGCGGGTGGGCGCAGAATGCCCCAGGTTCACGGGAGGGAGCGCCTGCGGGGCAGGTCGGCTTCACACTGGGCTGTGTTCCCAGGGCGGGACCTCAATAAATATTTACTGAACGCAGGAACGGACGGGAGGAACGGAAAGGACGCGCAGATCGAGGAAAGGGGGTGATGGAACTGAAATGCACAGAGCCCCAAGTTCAGCTGCGACCACCAGCCATTGCCACCAGATGGCAGTGCCCAGAAGCGCCTGGCTCGCCCGGGCCCTTCTCCCCGCTGTGGCTGCAAGGACTCGGGGAGGCGTGTCCCTGGAGACGATGTGCCCCGGGACTGCACCCCGATTCAGGCGATCTCTAACCCGGGCACAGGCTCCCGGTTCCGAGAAGCAATGCCCCCGCGTAAGCGCAGTCCTCCGGGTTCAGCGAGTGAGCGCCGGGGGGCTGGAACCCGCCCGCCCGCGCGGCCCTGCTCAGCCCGGCTTCAGATGAACTCTATGCCTTCGTACTTGACGCTCCCGATGCGGGTCTCGGGCAGCAGGAAGCGGCCGTCGAGCGTGAAGGCCATGATGTAGGTGGCGACCTTGCCGCTGTCCTCCTCGGACTTGAGGGCCACGAGGATCTGGTCGTCGGTGTTGGGCACGAACTTGAAGGAGGAGAAGCCGTGCGTGGGGCGCAGCTCGCCGACGCGGCGCACGGCCACGTCGCTGAAGTCCTGGGAGGCGCTCAGCAGCAGGTTGGTGCCGCGGCGCTCGTCCTCCTTCTCGCTGTAGCGCTGGTGGCTGGCGCGGCGCGGCAGGAAGAACCAGCGGCGCAGCGTGTCGCTCCAGCAGGCCGACTCGTGGATGAGGTAGCCTG